TACCAAAATAAAATCTCTGTATTCTAACTGATGTGTTTGTATACCATTTTTTTAATTGCAATTTTTAACTATTGATTTTCTCTTCTTTTATTAATTACAAAAAGTTTTTAAGCACGTTTTTGTTTTATTGTACTTTTATCTAGTATCTTTTTTTCTCTTTTAATGTTTCTTGTATATACACATTAGTGATCGTCTTTTTAACCAAGCCGTTGTACAATATCTTTTTACAGTTGTATATTAAACAACTATATAAATATAATTATTAGCAGTAACCGATATACATACCTAGTAATTTATGCTGATAATCTGTAAAAATTTTAGAAGACTGTTGGCGACTTCATAATAATAATAAAACCGTTCATCTAGACTGTGCATAGATTATTATTATTCTTCAATCGTCATCTGGATCTTGACAATTATCTTGTTTTATTTTTAACTAAAATTTAGATATCATGTAGTTACAAGAACAAGACACATTCTGTGGTATCGATTTTATCCCAACCTCTTTAAATAAATAAATAGACAAATAGATAAATAAATAAATAGACAAATAGATAAATAGATAAATAGATAAATAGATAAATAGATAAATAGATAAATAGATAAATAGATAAATAGATAAATAGATAAATAGATAAATNGACGGATAGACGGATAGACGGATAGACGGATAGACGGATAGACGGATAGACGGATAGACGGATAGACGGATAGACGGATAGACGGATAGACGGATAGACGGATAGACGGATAGACGGATAGACGGATAGACGGATAGACGGATAGACGGATAGACGGATAGACGGATAGACGGATAGACGGATAGACGGATAGACGGATAGACGGATAGACGGATAGACGGATAGACGGATAGACGGATAGACGGATAGACGGATAGACGGATAGACGGATAGACGGATAGACGGATAGACGGATAGACGGATAGACGGATAGACGGATAGACGGATAGACGGATAGACGGATAGACGGATAGACGGATAGACGGATAGACGGATAGACGGATAGACGGATAGACGGATAGACGGATAGACGGATAGACGGATAGACGGATAGACGGATAGACGGATAGACGGATAGACGGATAGACGGATAGACGGATAGACGGATAGACGGATAGACGGATAGACGGATAGACGGATAGACGGATAGACGGATAGACGGATAGACGGATAGACGGATAGACGGATAGACGGATAGACGGATAGACGGATAGACGGATAGACGGATAGACGGATAGACGGATAGACGGATAGACGGATAGACGGATAGACGGATAGACGGATAGACGGATAGACGGATAGACGGATAGACGGATAGACGGATAGACGGATAGACGGATAGACGGATAGACGGATAGACGGATAGACGGATAGACGGATAGACGGATAGATAAATAAATAATGTCATTAATTTTAACCACGTATTCGGAAGGCTTAATAAAGACAGAAAATTGGAAAAACAAATTTTTTACTCGACTTTTAAAAATGAAGGATATCAACCCATAACTCCCGCTACGAGGGCGGCACTGGCAGATGTCCGGATGCTCGGAAAATTTTGTAACGTAATGTCACAAATAGTTGTCGGCTGAAGCGAACAGCGTTGCCAAGTTCACATTATAATGTGTGATTCACATTTACTGTTTAACGTATTCAAGTAAATAAAGGAGCATGCTGCATTTTATTATAAACAACTTTAACAATTGTATTAACTTAGTGCAGAATGTTTTAACAAGCCTGACTTCTCGAAGTCAACTTTCGTTAAAATAAAATAAATAAAGCAGAGTTAGTTATCTGTATATATCGTAGCCGTGCGTAAATTCTGAATAACCGACTGACGTCAGCCGGTCAGTGACAGCCTGAAAAGGGGGTTAAATAATGATTTGAAAATATTTTTTTCTGCTTAAATATGCATTTAATTTATTTTTTAATCACGCCATCGTATTATACTAATTTTTCTCTATATGCTCTTAAAATTAATGACATTGTGACTGAATCACCCTGTATAGTTATTAGATAGTTATTTTAAAACTAATGGTGTTTCATCATCTCTGTAGTCTACTAAAAAGTGCCAGACATAAATATATTTTCTAGATTTTGCTTTATAAAGGTGTGTTTACGTAAATATATAAATACAAGGAAATTCTTTATATCTTGATTGCCGATCTATACTGTCAAATTGAATTTATAAGTTCCACCAGAAAATTCTCGACAAATACGAACATTTCACCTGCAGGCACTAGGTATGAGCGAACTTGCTGCAAAGTTCTCAGTTGCATTTTATGAGTAGAATCCCCTACCAACTGCAAAAAACTTTGGCAGTCTTAGTCTGAAACCACATTTTATGAGCAGTTGAAATAAAAAATTCAGATTTTATTAAAGATCTCACTACCAACAACTTTCGTCTTTTCATGTGCATATTGAAATATCTAGGAACAAAAGAAATGTATTTATCTCGTATTTCTCGAAATATAAATCACGCACCCTATATATGATCAAGAACGCCCATTTTCGATAGTTTTGAAAGATGTTGAAATAACCCGGAATTTTATTTTCAACTCTTTCCTGTATTATTATTTCATTTGGTGTGTGATCATTGGCTACATTATGATCCAATTCCATTAAATGTTTGTAAAAGTTTGAATGGTTTTTCTCTTCGTGAATATGTATGAAGCGTATCTTATCTGAATATATCTACATGCCTGATTTATAACAGCCAGGGATATGTGTTTTGGGCAATATAACTGATATACCAAACTTTTCTTTGTTTTGCATAAATAATACGATTATTGCCAGCAATAAATGCCGATTTGATGTTAGACTGGCAAAACATGATATTCACAGAAACAGCTTCCCCGACCATAGCAGTAAAACGTATACAAGGTTAGTCAAGTTTTCGTAGACAAACTTTGATAGCCGCTAGATGATTTCGTTCTAAAAAAAAGAGCGAAGAGAGTTCGTTGAATGCATTATGGAACAAGTGAATGCTGATTTTTCGAACAAAATGATCTTCTGCGATGAAACTCATAACTTCGTTAATCCACAAAATTGTCACATTTGGGCTTCAGAAAATCCACGGGTGATTAACCTAAAAAAAACGGGTCAATTAAGGTCAGATATCAAGAATTTTCAAAAAATTACAGATTCGCGCTAAATTTGGTATACTAGGGTTTTCGGGGTCGCTGATTACGAATTCACGAGAATTCGTAATATTTTACCTAATTGATCCGTTTTTTTTCGAGGTTAGGAAAAGAACCATAAATTCTGACCGCGAATTCACGTTCGGCGGGGTCTTAACCATATAAATGAACATTTGAATAAGGAAATTTTTTTTTTGTATTTATCCTAGCACTTTTTCATGAATTTTTGCTATTTTTGACCTGTTTTTTGAGGTTAGGAAATTCCTTTGATGTGATAGCTCAGTTCTGACACAGGATTCGCGATCAGAAGGCAAAAATGCTACGGATAGCATGTGATGAATGAAAAGTACAGACAAATTTTTTTTGTGTGGCTGTGTTATCATCCAATAAACACGGTGCCGCGTGCGAAGGGAAGTCACCATTTTTTGACCGTTATAATCACGCAACAATTTTACTAACTAAAACTGTTATGTATATCGTGTTCTAGAAAAAGTGTGTTCATGAATTACTACGAAATATAAAATATTTTTTAATAAAATTTGGGTTGATGTTCTTTTCATATTTAACTTTAAAAGTTCTTAACAAATAATGACTAAAATTTCCATATTTGACAGTAAGTATCAGCAAAGGCCATTTTTCCGAATTTACAATTTTTAATAAACACCTGTTTTGGATCAAAATTACTTCTTGCGTAACTAATATGTGAATTAGCTAGTTTAAAAATTTTGGAAAATATGGACATTATTTATTTTATAACAGTAAAGTAAGAGATATTTTATGATCGATTTATTCTAATGCCAAGGATGAATATTGTATTGTTCATCAAAGACAAACCCCTTTATTAGTTAAACAGTTGTCAGTAAACTTCACATTGTGTTATTTTCAAACATTATTCAAATTTAGATCAGTTCAAATTGGATTACAGCTAATTTATTTCACCGTCAACATTGATGTATAAATCTATTTTATGATATCTATTTGCATAACTAATGACTAGGTATGATTTTATGGGTATCGCTTCAAATAAACGTTAAAATTTTAGGGAAATAATTTACATTTATTTTCGAACCCGGATTACCGATATGTAAATTTCCAGTGACCCAAATGCAGGTCCACCATATAAAAACCTGGATATGGCATCCGCATACTATGCATCTATAGGGGTTGCATTTCATACTTTTTCAAAAGTCGATATGAATATATCACAATTCAGTTTCATATATTCAGTATGTATGTATTTTAAATCAATTTTATTCTAAAACTTATTGTAATATGTTATAATATTCGTATACCCTAATTTCCAGTCTTCGAATAAAGCACTCGTACGGACCATAATATAAAAAAGTTTAACCAGTAACAGTAACTTCCAAATTTAATTGTTTTATCTCTAACAACTTTGAAGACTTTTGAAAAAAATATTCATGGACTTACCTTTATGGAGTCGAAACACTCTTATTATGCGCACATTTTGGTCCAGCATTTTAGAAAATCTAGGAAAGCTAAAAACAATATATCTTCAATATGTTCAAAGTAAGGAAAAACAGAGCACATTTGTATATTGTATGTTTTTTGAATTTTGCACGATTGTTGAACATACAGAAAATCGCGTACGCTACTATAAGCATAATCACACCGTGCAGAATGTTCCTAGGAAACTATTAACACATGTATTAGTCACAATTATTAAGTGTCTTTACAAAGGAAGAGAGTCAGTCAAGTCAGTCGACGCAATTGCAAAAATTTAAAAAAATGCATGATTTTTATAGCTTGTAGTCAAACTCAAACATGACATCTGTATCTCAAATAGAAGTTCAGGCTGACAAACCCAAGCCGAAGCTTGGACATGGGCGCTCAAACTCTAACCGAAACTCTAGCTGAAGCTCAGTCAGGCAAACGCAAACTGAAGCTCGGAAAGAAAAACTCGTACGGTTTGATTTACTGCCTTTGGACTTTTGCTATTTTCTCAACGGCATTTCTCTCATTAGAGTAAATCTCTTATAAATGCTAAAAACGTTACCCAGGAACAACGACGTGGACGTGCCCAGATTACTGCTCGTTTTGGGGCGCTTTTCTACTTGATTACCCCTGCCTCTCATAAAGTGGATTCTTACTTACCATCTTCCTCTTCTGAAGTCTTCCTCATTTGCTCCAGAAGACTCACTTTCAGTGTAAACGGATGTGTTTAATAAGCAGTTAGATCACTATAATGCTGTAGGGAATTTTCACGATGCCAGTCCGTAGTCATTTTTGTGACCTCATTGCTTGTCATAATAGTTCGGCATGGGTTGGATTTCTTCCGGTAAGTGGATTTTACCGTAGAAATGGAAGTTGCTATGGACAACGGGAGGTGAATGAGGTAACTTACCTCCCTTCGAGTTATAAAATGCATATTTTTTGAACAAATAAATAGAAATATTTGAAGAACATTACATTTTATTAATTATTATGAATGAATATTTATAGTAATTGCACAGTTATTACATTTAGTTAACATTTATAAAGTCTGGATTATAATTCCCCTCGCGTTTACTAATTGTCACATTTTTCTCAAAATCATTTGACCGCTTCAGTCACCGGAGGCTCAATATTACCTGACTGATCCATTAAAACAGCATGATGCGACATACTACTAGAACTTGGGAGTTAAAGTGTCATTGTAAAGAATCCGGTTGGCTATTTTATTTTTGTTACTTAAACTGTCAGCAACATAACTTTCTGCAGTTTTTGCTGATTTCCACCCACCATGTCTCTTGATTGCTAATACATCAACTACTGCATTAGTCAGTAACGTTTCCGATGTTCTTGGGAATGAATGGCCTGTGTATGTTTCAGGATGTTCTAGTTACAAAAACTTTGCAATCTTATTAGGAATCATAGAAACGGTATTCTTGACGACTGGTTGGTTGTAACATCTACTTGCTGATAGCGCATAAAAAAGCGTGAAATTTGAGTTTTAATTTCCAATTTAATCTTGATATATTTCTTGAGAATTTTTAGATGAGAAACGGAACCTAGACGAGAAGTAATTGTAAACGCGACATACAATTTTTAGAATCTGGAATTGCAACTATAGGAATGTCATCGAAATTTTTTAAATTGGCGTTGTCCAATGTAAGTTTGCATAACTCATCAGAACGGCATGCTGCTGCAATACCTAAGATCGTCACTACCTTCATTAACAAATATGTGTTATCGGGTGTCTGAGCGAGAAAATCGTTGCAAAAACGTTTCACTTTTTAAGTGTACCTATAGCCGACATTCTTACATTTCAAAAATGCTCTCAGCTTGGGGTATTTTGATATATCCACGTTCTCCTCTATGAAAATGGTTGACTTAATCATCGAGTATTCACTCCACAAACTCGCCGATGACTTTAAGTTCTTGAATTCTCCATGAAATACGCTAGCAGTGACATTTCAGAAACACCAGTATTTTTATTCTAGTTTAGTGTTCGCTTCGTCACTTCTTGTTCTATAATTGCCTTACTAACAGTGATATTTCTTGTCTATAAAACGCCAGTCTTAAGAAACATTTCACCATCTACATTAGTTAAACTTCTTTTATTTTTGTTGTAGAATGCGCTAGTAAAAGCAGACTAATTTCTGGACATTATTTTAGTGTGAGTAAGATATAACCTGCAAAAAAAATACAAATAGAGTTTGACAAAAGTTCTATTTTTTATATATTGCCGCCTAACAGAAATTTGTAAATAGACAGCATTGTTTTTCTTTGGCTAACATGATTCTCAAGAAAGCTGTCCAAACAAAAAATTACTATGGCCAAATTTACATTGTAATTTAATTTAAAAAAAAAATGATTTTACCATCAAACTGTTGATAGATGACAGAAAATATCAATAGACCGTTTAAGAAAATGAAACCAGTGTCATATTTACGCTACTGATTACGATAAAATTACGTTTCGATATCTTCATATTTTATTTATTCAGGAGATATTTAGAGATATAACTTTTTGAAACCTTTGACACAGTGTACCCAAAAAACTAAGGTATCAATGATAAACGTACAAATAAGAAAATATTCTTGAATTTGATCGAAAAAAAAACGCTCTTTCATTTTTGACACGTATATCTTATATAAAATAAAAGAAATTTCGTTCTTAAGTGATATATCATAAAGCTAAAAAGGTTGTAAGTTTCACTGTACGATAAAATTTAATGTTGAATAAAATGTCTTTCGGTAGATCTCGTCCCTTCATATACATATTTTAACGGGATGAGAGACTAGGATTTTGATTCGTATTTGTCTGGTAATACGTATTCTAGTACCTTGTATTGGAAAATAATCCAGGACGTTAACATAAAGTTTTACTATCAATATATTGGTGAACGAATATTGGGCACTTCCATAAGATAACATAGCCATCACTTTGGCATTTTATGTTTTTTGGGTACTTAATACTCGGAAATATATGTACTGTGAGAATGGGCGGTTAACCTTTTTCCTATATATATTTCTATATAAACTGGTTGGACAAAGCTAGCTTCTGAATATAATTCGTTCATAGTTTGGACAACGTCAAATAATTGTATGATAGATATACCTAATTGAAATCAACAACTATAGAAACTTAAAGTAGATAATTTAATCTAAGAAGACGTTTATAAAATTCATTGTTTGAAGATTCAAAGGAATGTTTGATATTTGAAAACGTATTTTTATAAAGAAAAAATGTTTTTTAAACATTGTGGTACTAGCAGCAGTTTTCTCTAATTTTAAAGAATTATGAGGAAATGAAGGTTAAACTGTTCAATAACTTCAAAACATTATATCTTCATGATACTTTATTATATCACATAAACAAAAGTTTAAAATAAAGGCTGATTGTAACTGAAGTATGTCATTCGCAGTATCTGGCAATTTCAAGTTCCAATAAACAACATTTACTTGTATGTTTTCACATTTATACGAATCTGATTAAAGTTTTATATCACTAGGATTTTGTTGATTCTGCTATACTCCACATATTTAATCATAGTACCCAATAATTTATAACTGGTACGTAGGTATTAACGAAGTTACTTCTAAAAATTTCTGTCGGCAAAACATATCTTGTCTTTTTTCGGTAGTCAAAGTTTTTTCGAACTTTAATAGAGATACTGGAGTATGGAGTAGCAAAGCAGAATTTTGCCTCAATATGAAATTCATGTATCACACTGAAATAGGTCTCCCACATAAATATATGTACGGAGTAATTCACATAACATTCTACCCCCTTATCGCTGTTACCGTTCTATCTACAGTCGGATCCCAAAATACTAGGCAGTGATTTCATCTTTAATCTGGCTTATAATTTTTAGCAGTCAGCACAAAGAAAAGTACGACCCGTTTGCAAATTCTTCGTATGAAATTGTATGTGCCGCCTTCTTCCAGAGCAGTCGATATTGCACAGTTTTAGGATCTTCTTTTGCTGCGTTTGGCGTGCACAAGATATTCCTCTGCTGCAACAAATTCTAGACTTTCATAGATGTTTGGTGCGTTACGTCAATTGGGTTGCGTTTATTCGGTTCCAAAAGAGTTCGATTGCGTAACATGGTTTAGGAAGATCAAAACTTTTTGATAAGTTTCTCGTAGTATTTAGTTTACTATGAGAGATTAGTAATAGCTTAAAGTGTAGTTAGCGATAGAATGGTTTCTGTACAATTCAGCGAGATGGAGATATCTTATTACATTTCAAGGGATCGAAAAAACTTAACCATTCGTTTCAGCTGCCTTTCGTGAAATAGACTGATACAATTTGTCACACTATTAATAAGAAAAAGAGATACAAATTCCTAAACATCGACGACAGAATGACTGTGTGTGAATGTTCAATATCTCAATCAACTCAAAAAGACTCGACATGAAGACAGACAAAATAAACCATCGAATATAAGACGAGACATGAAGTAGCTAAATGAGGAGAGACCGGGAAATTAGAGAGCGACGTATATACTGAAGAGCTGAAACGAGACCTACTTTAATGTCGGGTGAAACCTATCGAAGGAACATAAAAATTTCGATACGAGAATATCTTAGGCTAACCACACACTACAGTCATCAAAAGAAAAGTTTATTCGGGTAAATCTTTTATCATTTCGACGAAGTATTTACTCCAGATATTCTTGTGTTTCCAATATCCACGTTATCCCCAGAATTCGACTGTATGTACTATTTATTTTTAAAGAATTAAAAATCTCCTTTATGAAAATAAATTAAATTTACATAACAAAAGACATCTGTTTTCTTATAGTAGGAAATAATGTTACTAAAGATTTAAAGATTATCAAAACTTATATAGCATTTATATACTTACAAAAGCTTTTATTCTAAAATTCTTGTCTTGTTTCAAGTTCTAACGTCTCTTCTAGTGTGCGGGCATCTTTAGACTCATATAATCAAAAGTCTTAACATAAGCTATACGATGCTCGACAGCGGACAAGAGTTCCGCTGCTGAAGTTAAACTCGTTACAATTTATATATTATATTACAGATATGATGGATCTAAAATGTACCTACCCTTTCATTGTGGAGATAAATTTACTGTTCTATTTCAGGAACATTTTCTATGGTTTCTTTTACAACGTATTTTAACAAGAATTTGAAAAGCAATTCTGGCAACATTAAATTTAAACCATGTTTCATTTCATGCATGTTTTATATCAGATTTATATTATCTTTTGTCGCATTTAATAAAATGTATATAAAAACAATTAAAGAAATGTTTAAGATACCTAAATTAAAGTTTTTGATTGTGTATTGTGAAATTTCTTATTTATTATAACAATTAGAATTTTGTTTTGCGTTTCGTTTCTTTATATTTGACTGACCCCACCTCGGGCGCCAAAGTTTTATGCGTAGAAGAATTTTTGAGTGTGAATAAGAAGTTTTATTACTTTACTATTTTTTATTTTGTTACTTACGTTGTT